CACACCCACCAAGCTCTGCTGATTTCTTTACCTCAGTTTGCACACCCACCAAGCTCTGCTGATTTCTTTACCTCCAGTTTTTAGTGTGTGGCGGTCCTTCCTCCAGCCGAAGCAAAGCGAATCGGGCTGCGCTGAGGGACAGCCCACGGATACCATCACCCCATTCCTTCTCAGCTCTGTGAGGAAAAGGAGAAGACAGCAGAGACAGACGTAAACTGCAGCAAGTACAATGTCAAAAAGTAGAGTTCACTTCCCCGATTATAAAAGATAAAAACTCATACTACTGATGCATGTAGTGCTCTGTGGTAATCTAAGGAGCCCGCTGTAAGCAGATCACCACAGACTACAGTGCACACGCAGGTCAGAAAAAAGGCAGAAAGGTCATTCACCTGGTCCTGCTACATAACTATTCCAAAGCAATACTGTAAAATAGCAATTTAGATTAAGAAATTAATACAGACCCAAGTTTAAGTTAATTTGAAAATAATGAGGAGAAAGCAAAACTCGATGTAATCTTCTGAATCAGAGTGTTATTCACCTCTCATTTCTGGAAAGGGTTTAGCTGTTACAAAGTTATCCAGGACTAATTCCTTTTTCATTTCAGAGATAAACTGAAAAGACTGAAGAGATAAACAAAAATATGTGTGTGTGTTATACTTTTTTTTTAAATACTGATCCATTATTATTCAGATAAGCCCTTTAGTTACTTCTCATTTGATCCTTTCATACTTTCTCAATGGTTTGCCTTATAATCAAAAGCTTGCATCTGTAATATGGTTAAGAGAATTTGTCGCTGTGTGCTGTCTAGTTGATTCTGACTCACAGCAACCCTATAGGACAGAGTAGAAATGTCCCATAAGGTTTCCTAGGCTGTAATCTTTATGAGAGCAGATCACCAGGTCTTTTCTCCCACAGAGCGGCTGGCGGGTTTGAACCGCCAACCTTTTGGTAAGCAGCTGAGCACTTAACCACTGGGTTGCAAAATTTAGTTACGGAAGAACGCAGTTACCTGAATCCATAATGCAATTGTCACTAGACTGGCTCTAACCAAAGTAGCTGGTATTGGCACGTTTACCAGTGGCCAAGGTCAAATCCACAGTCTGTCTGTGCTGCTACAGACTCACCCTTGGTACTCGATGTATTTGTAGATCATACCAGCTATCCCCATAGCTACGATGGCATAATACCAGGAAGAAATGAACATCAGAGCCAGACAGATACTCATTCCCATGAAAGAGAGGGCCCTAGAAAATTAAAAATAAGCAAACAAACAATGTCTTTCTTAATTGTAGAATCTTATAAACATTAATTGTCAATAAAACCCACAGGGCAGCTGATGAACTTCAATAGTGCCGTCAGATACCAGAACATCATGGTACACCTGTCAATAGCTGATGTGAACTTAACAGTCAGACTTCCTCTGTGTGTTCTCATAGACATTGTGGAATTGCCACAAAAAAAAAAAAAAAAGTCTTTCTAAGAAGCTAAAAAAGAGGCATGTGCTAGAGCAGTGCTTCTCAAACTAACTGTGGTGAGGGACCATTTAAAAATTTCCACTCTGTTGCAAACAAATGCTTTCGTAAAACACAATCAAAATGAATTATAAGAAAACTGATCACATGCCTGGATACCGTGGCAACGTCAAATTGCTACAGAAGTTTCAATTGCTCATTCCCAGTTTCTGTAGTTGTTCTGTCATGGACTGGCAACAAACAGTCAGCAGAACCACACTGACCCACAGAACACCCTTTGCTGGAGGATGTGTCCCATTGCTTGGAAAAACGTATAAATGAACAGGGCGGCTCCAGAAGTCATGTGTGGTTAGGAGGATGACTCCAACTTGGCAAAACAGGGACAGGACATGTAGTCGGAAATGTTAACAACGCTCTAGTCTTTAAAAAAAGGATTTCATATAAATATTTCTAAAATTTTTATGAACGTTTATTAGCATAACCGCAGAACCCTCCAAGAAAGACTTGTCGTTAGATTTCTTACTTTACAGAAGAGAAACCTGGCAAAGAATAATCAAGTGCTTGTTTTGATCAAATAAATCAGGTAGACAACCACGAGTACCGAATTGCCTCTGTGTGCAGAACCAACTTCCTAGCTGTATGATGAATCTCAAAGGACAAACAGGAGAGTTGTTAATCTGAGACATTTAGGATCTAATGGAAACACAGTGAGTGAGGAGAAAAAGAAAAACTAACAGAAGCAAAAGAGCCGTACAAAGAATGTTCGTAGTGAACTTTAAAGTTGAAGTTAGAAAGCGGATCAGACACGTCAAAATCAGCTGAAGATTTAAATTTTTAGTCTCTGTCCACCATTAGTAAGTGAAATTGAAAGGGGTTAAGAAGTTAGCAAAGAGGGATGTAGCAACAGGTACGCATAGGCCGTATTAAAGAAGTTTTAGCTATGAAAGAAAGGGATAGGATGGTAGCTAAACACTCTGTAACTACTAAATTACGCCGTTACAGGGAAGAGAGTTTGACAATGAAAACTGAAGAGAATATGAGAGAGGAAAGACAGACAGTGGTGAAGTCCAGTGCTTAGCTGAGAGGGAAAGGCGAAAACCGATAGGCAAAGGGAAGCTTGTTTTAACCTGAAGAAGGTAGTGGACGAGAAATATTTATGTTATAGTTTTATCTTTATCCTAAGCAGGTTGTTGTAAGTTATCATAAAGCAGGAAAGGAAAAAACAGGGTGAGTGCGGAGTTTCAGGTGAGTACCCTAAGTTGAAACAATCAGTATGGAATGGCTGATCAAGAACAAAACCGTGTTGAGAACCCAGCCCTCCTAGTTTTCTAATGCAACGATGGGTTCTCTCTAAATGCTGAGGAGGCAAAAAAAAAAAAAAAAAGGCAGACTCACCAGTGGTAGTAACGGAACCGGGGCCTCCAGTTAGGTGTTCGAAGTAATGTTTGCAAGGCACATGCCAGGTTCACAAACAGGTAACACATGAGAAAAAACCTGGAAGAATGAAAGGCATAACAAGGATGGTCACCACTGTAAAATGCTCCTTCTGGGCCATTTTAAATAACTAGATGCCTTTGCTATAGTTAAGTCTTTGCTTTAGACACTAACCCCTGACTAGGGGTCCCGGGGTGGCACAAACAATGAAACACCTGACTACTAGCCAGAAGGTTGGTGGTCTGAACTCACACGGAGGTACCTCAGAAGACAGGCCTGGTGATCTGCTGCTAAGAGGTCACAGCCCTGAAAACCCTATGGGTCAGTTCTACTCTGCACACATGGGGTCGCCAAGAGTCAGAACAGATCAGTGGCAACTAACCACCACCACCTTGACTAAGTCTAGGGAGTCGAGAACCTGCAGCCTCTCCCCACAAACCTGTTCACCTTCCTGTGCTCTCTCTCAGTGACTGATAACAACCATCTCTTCACTCAGTTGCTCTTGGGGTAATCCTAGTTTCCTCTTTACTTACCCTTCTTCAAAGCTGACCTACCAACTCCTGTGAAGTCTACCTACTAAACTCTCTAAACGTCTTGTTTCCTTTCTGTCTCTATTACTTTATCACCTCAGATCAGGCTCTCATTTCTTCTTTCCTGAATTAGTCAAATAAGTTTCTAATTGGCATTCCCAGCTCAATTTTAGCCTCTCTCTAATCTACCTTTTATACCAAATTGGTCATTCTAAAACATAAATATGATTTACTCTCCACCATGAGGATTATCCGTTACCTCCAGGTAAAAGTTCCAGGTCCTCTGTCATCTGGCTCTGCCTCCTTCTCTAGCCTGCTCCTCCCGAACATGCACCTTCCACTCTAGCTGAGCCAAACACCTTTCGATTCTCTCAAAGTGCTACATTATTTCAGTCCTCAATTCCTCTACACATGTTCCCTGCCTGGAACATCCTTCAGGCCGTCTTAGCTTAGCAGATAAGCAGTCATCCTTGAAGATAAAAGTGTCACCTCCTCCATAAAACCCTTCTTGACTGCAGGTCTGTTTATCTGCCCCCCTTTAGTTTTCACAGAGCACCCCGTGTTCGCCTTTATCACAGAGCTCACCACACTATACGGAGATCCCTGGTGTCCTCCCCTGCCATCAGTTCCTTAAGACTGTCTCTTATCCATCTTTGTATTCCCAGCATATCGCACAGTGCCAGGTAAGTAGTAAGTAAGTCATCAGTAAATCAGCTAAATGAACAAAAGCTAACCACAGCAGTGACAGCTACAACCAAGTGATAACAAATCAGAAATGAAGGAAAGAACTTTTGAAGCTATATAGGCAGGAAGAAACCGTTATAATTTATGAAAGGTAGCCTTACATGAAACTTCTCAGGACATTTATTGAGGGAAATTACATCCATATTTGACCTACTCTTGTTATCACTACTGTTTCAGGCCTGATGGAAAACCAGACAGTCTCCCGTCAAACAGTTCGGAACAACCGCAAACAAAACAACTGGCTCTTACATGGTAAGGATGGGAGCCACGAGATCGAGGGAGGCGACGAGGATCCCCAGCTCTGCAATGGCAGCAGTCAGGAGTAAGGCCCAGGTAGGTTCCCCATTGGCTTTGCTGTGACCAAACACCTGTAGACAGAGGGGAGATATCAGGCACAGAAGGAGGGGAGGTAGCTGAGTCAATGTCTGCAATCCTCTGTCCTACAGTGTCAGACATCTAACTGAGAGATAACAGTGTTACAACTATGATGGCTTTTAAACTCCTTTACCCCACTCTTATGTAACTCAGACTAGGGATTTAGAGTCTTGTACTAAACCCCCGTCTCCGTTTTATGTAACCTAGTATTTCCTAACTCACACCATTTCACAAAAAGTCTAGGAAAACAGGGAGCAGGCAGAGGAAAGAGTCACTCACCCTCAGAAACGGTATAATGTTATCCTTGGCAATTGCCTGCAGCAGCCTTGGTGCACCCGTGAGGCTCTGAAGTCCAGCCCCACACGTAGAAAAGAAGGAGCCAATAACAATTACCCACGGGGATGGCCACGATAAGGTGCCCACCACCAAATTACCTTTCACAGCATCCCCAAACCTGGGAGAAGAACAAGAGTGGGGAAATTTAATCTAGAAATAACTTTGGACTTAAAGGCTGGAGGTGCTTTCACCTAATTTCAACCATTTATAATATTTAGAGAGTCAAAGTTAAGATTTGATTAATCTTAATTAATCAAATGACTATTACAAAATGTAAAGGTAGACAGAGATGATCAAAAGGCACGATTAACACATATTAAGAAAAAAATAACCTGTAGGGTGAGATTTCTTCAGAAGATAAGCTAAACCTCAATTACAGCGTTTCTCCTCAGATTATCAAAATATTTGCTCATTGTAAAGAAATTGGAAAAGTACAAAAAAACACAAAAACGTGGAGGGTGATGGGAATCCATCCATCCATTTAAATTTCTAGTCATGATAGATATCTCAGGTCAGGTTCTTTAGTTGTTTTTTTTTTTTTTTTTTTTAAATTTTTTTAAATTGTACTTTAGGTGAAGGTTTGCAGAACAAAATAGTTTCTCATTAAACAGTTAGTACACACATTGCCCTGTGAGAATGGTTAACAATCCCACGACATGTCAACACTGTCCTTTCTCAACCTTGGGTTCCCTATCACCAGCTTTCCTGCCCCCTCCTGACTTCTACTCCTTGTCCCTGGACTGCTGTGCCTCATTAGTCCTGTTTTGATTTATGGGGCTGTCCAATCCCCAGCTGAACGGTGAACCTCAGGAGTGCCTTCGTTACTGAGCTAAAAGGGTGTCCGGGGGCCATACTCTCGGGGTTGAGTTTTTGAGTTTTTAACTGTCTTGGGGCTATGTGGGATGATAAGACATCATGGAAGACAGACACATGATTATTAAAAGAAATCAACTACTCACTTGTCTCTAAGAACAACTCCTTCAATACACGCACCAAGAAGGACAACATTGCTTAAATCTACCACATCAAGAGTCAAGGAAACTGGCATTTATCCTCCAAGATGGGATGGAAAGCAGACACTCAGGATATTCCTTCTGTCAGTAAAATGAGTTGCTAAATCTACTAATCTAATACATTAGTTCTTGAATTCTCTACTTTGGGGAGGAGGTGGGTAGATGATTTGGGGAAAGATGAGGTGGCAGAAAGCTGCTATCCTAATTACCAGGACAGAAACACCCTAGTTCCCCCAGATGTTCCTGTGACGAAGACTCAGACTGCACCTGTGAAAAGGATACAGACAAAGGAGGTGGTCAGGATGGCGAGGATGGTGCCAATGGGAATCGACTTCTGAGCATCTTTCAGATCTCCAGACCGGTTTGATCCAGCCATGATACCTGGGGAGAAGAAAACACGGTGACTCCTTGAGTTCATGGGCACTTTGATACGCATACTGATACCACAGACCAGAAGCAAATCCAGGAACCAAGGATATAATCTGTCTCCTGAGAAAAATCACACCCTGGGTCTGAGCGCTCCTAAAATAAATGACAGCCCATCTGCTTACCTGTGACAGAGGGAAAGAAGATCCCCACCAGAAGCGTGAAGGAGGTGGTCATGTCAACAAGAACATACTCATGATTTAAGCTGCCTAATACATCGGAGGATTTGACTGAAGCCTTTTCAATGATCTCTCCCTTTGGTAGATAATTACTCCAGAGATTTTCTGCAGTGGACAAAAAAGGTAATAAGTAGCAGCAGTATCAAGAAGATAATTAGATACTTTCTACCTAAACAATATGCTAAGTCAGAGTCTCACTGATATCGTTTTTAAAATTATGGTTGCTGCGACATGAGCACATACACACACAAACATACCACACAATAAAGCACACGTGAATAAAAACCTAATCCTCTTTTTCATCTGGTTTCATACATAATTTGACAAAATGCTTTGATAAATACATATGCAGTCAAGTCAGATGGATAAATAAATAAATTAGTAATAAGTTAGGCAGACTCAAGCAGAATGCTCGGGAAAGCCTGTAACTTTTTTTATTAGACATCAATGATGTTTTAAACACCTCAGTGTGATGCAAAGACATTTGTGGACCAAATATTGAAGACAGAAGTCTCCTAAGGAAAGAGTTTCAGAAATTTAGCTGAGTTAGGGAAACACATGTATGGATGTGCTGACATTAAAATAGTTCCATTCCACCTGTCACTGCAGAAGAACACTGCAATTTTAGAAGAATACATAGGATATTTTATCATCTTATTCTAGGTTAAAAACCGATTTGCTCACATCCGCCTTCTAAAAGAGGTAAATTTTTAGCAGATTGCACTCTGTAAGGGAGTCTACAAAAAGTATAAATTCATTGATGCAACAGCAAAACTACGCTGAAACGAGAGCTGTATTCTGAGCTCAAGTAGGGAAGTGGCACCGTGACAGGGAGTCTTCATGGATAACAGAAAAGTCTAAGATGGTAAAGTCTGTTCTCCTCAGAGAACAATTAAAAGCTACAAATAACCCCCTAACTTACCTGTAACAATACCACTAGCCAATCCAGGGATGCCCTGAATTGAAGTGACATTATTGTGAACGAAGTATTCATCACAGGTGGCATTGAAAAACTGGCTTGAATTACAGAAGAAGCCCCATAACTTTGATGGGACTGTCATGTTGTTCATTTCCTTGGTCTTCGAGCAAACGTCGATATGTCTGGATGAAAGGGTGCGGTTACCCAGCATACAGACCCTAAGTGAAAAAAAAAACAGGGAGAAATATCAAGCAAGAAAAGGATGATTTAAAAAATATATATTAAGAAAGTAAGAGATCAGTAAAGCAAAACAGAAACTATCCGATAAGAGCTTCTCCTGCCGTGGGTGTGAAAGGAACTAAGATTCACTGACTGGCCAACACAGGAATGGTAACGGACATTTTCTGCCAACTGAATCCTCACAGCAACCTTGTGAAATACGTACTAATGTTTCCATTTTGTGGATGGAGAAAGTTAACCTTGGGGTGATACAGTAACGTGCCCGAGGCCATGCAGGTAGTAGACAGCAGCGACAGGGTCCAAACACAAAGACAGTCTTTGTCTCCATCGATGCTGACTCATCTTCCAAAATCTCCAGGCTACTAACCAACTGTTGGGTCTAAAACTATCCTAGAGTCCTTTTGCTCTTCCTACAAATTAAAAAAAAAAATGCCCCCTTTTCCATGGCCTAGGGAAGCCTTACACTCATAACCATCAGTCGCCATGGAAGCAGTTTCGGCTCACGTGACTCCACGAGCTGCGGAGTTGAACTGCGCTCCGTGGGGTTTTCATGGCCGGGACCTTTTGGAAGCAGACGGCCAGGACTTCTTCTGAGATGCCTCTGGGTGGTCAAACTGGCGACCTTTCAGTTAGAAGCTCTGTGTTTAACTGGCTGCACCACCAAGGGACTCTGTGACATCCATGACCTCTGAGGAATGTTCTGGTAAAGGTCAAACCTTTCTGGCTACCGTTGCAAGGATGATAGCTTGGCTAGAACGGAAAAATACCTCCCTCTATAGACTCAGAGACATCTGTTTTTGAACAGTGGGAGTGAGAGTATTTCAGAATAATACAAAGATTAACTACTGGTTTTATTTTTTTCTTTAACCCAGAGACATAAATATGAACAAAGGAATAATAGACACAGTTAAAATACCTCTTAGGTGGAACAAAGCAACTTTTTAAATCTGCAAAATGACAGTAGCAATTATGGAATTTTTCAAACATACACTGACTAGATAATAATGGTATAATGAACCATGTACCCATTGTTCAGCTTTACCCACTCTCAACAGTTTCTAGACTTGCCTCAGGTATAGATTTTTCTGTCTTATTTTGCTAGAGTAT